CGATGATACGAATTCAATACTTGGTCGTCTTCGTACTACGAACCCGATAATTCTTTCGGAAGATGGCAGTAATTATCTTGCATGGAAACTGTCATGGAGTTCAATCTTCGTCAAGAGACTGATTGTTGGGACGTCACTGAAGGGACTTTAAATCCCAGTGCCGAGGCAACGTCTGCCGAGACGAGGAGATATAACAAGGCAAACAACGTTGCGAAACCCTTGCTCATAAATTCCGTCCACCCGAACATAGTTCTCGATCTGTTCTTTAAGACTATCGGAACGCAAACTACAGCAACAATCTGGAAAGCAATCCATGGCAAATTCCAAAAACAATCTGGTATTCTCAAGCATCAGATCATGACTAGCTTCATCTCATTCAGATATAATACTTCGGAAACTGCAAGCAAAAATATCAGCAGATTCAAGCAAATTCTTAAACGAAATTGGTAGACAGTTTGCCATCGGATTGGGAAGGATTGAAGCTTTCTTGGGGTGCGAAAAGAAAAGTGAGCAGTTGCCAACACTTCTCTACGAAATGATTCTCGCCGAGTCTGCCCGACGAAACGAGAATAACGTCGACCACACCGAAGCTCTCTTCTCACGAATGAGAATTCGGAAACGCGGTTTTCGACAAACTCGATTCAGTGGAAGCTCAGGAAAGAGACCGAACTCCAGGTGGAATCGCCGACAGACCACCAATGTCATGACCAATGATACTGAAATCACCTGTTATAATTGACGGGTAGAAAAGGTCAACTACAAAGTGGAATTGTCATGCGAAGATAAGCCCGAAGAAAAAGGTTAGCGTTAATAATGCTGAAGCATTTCTTGCCCTATACGCTAACCTGTGTACGAGTGAAAATAACCAGTTTGTGGCGGATTCTGGTTCATCCGCCCACATTGTAAATGACAAGCGATGGTTTGTCACGTACGAGAAATTTGCGACATCTCGAGAAGTCAAATTGGGGGGAGCAGGTTCTTTACATGCAGAAGGATCAGGCACAATCCGTTTGACTGTTCGCAAAAATGACCGTGCGCTGGATCTTGAGCTCAACAACGTTCTTCTTGTGAAAAGAATCAGAAGAAATCTGATTCCGTCAGTATGTTAGCTGACGATGGTTACGTTGTCACATGTGACTCGACAGGCCTCACCATCTCTCAAGGTGATGGATCAATTGTAACCGACCGGTCGAACGATTTATACATATTGAAAGCCTCTAATGAAATAGAAGAAAGTCCCCCGAGTGGTGAGTGTCTCAATTTGGACATCGGTTCCAAGACACCCAAGATAAGCTTAATGTTCGCTCATAAGACGCTAGCGCATCTGAACAAGAAAGAGGTGATTACCACTCTCAAGAGAGAAGGCTTAGAATACAACGACGACATGGATGTGTGTCTTTCCTGTATCCAAGGAAAACAGCATCGGGCAAGTTATCATTCAAAACCAATCAATGCATTGGCTCGGTCCAAAGGTTATCTCCATAGTGACCTTTGCTCTCCATCTGAGGTGTCTCTCGGAGGATCTAAGCATTTCATGTGCATTCTCGACGAATACAGCCGCTACAGGAAAACATACTTCCTGAAGACCAAGAGCGAGGCTGTAGACGCACTTTGTCATTATCTTGCATGATTCCGTAATCACAATGGTTTTGATGTGAAGAATTTTCATTCGGACCAAGGAGGCGAATTTAAGAATGCTAGAGTTAAAGCACTTCTGGATGAGATTGGAGCTACTCAGAGCTTCAGCTGTGCATACACGCCCCAACAGAATGGAGCGTCAGAAAAATCAAATCGCACGTTACTTGATTTGGCTAGGTCATCTCTGATTGACGCCAATCTCCCGAAGTCACTCTGGGCAGAAAGCATCGCCACCTGTACCAAAATTCTAAATATGGTCACCATTTGTGAAAGAACCAACAAGACCGCCTATGAGACAATGCTCAACCGAAAAGGTTATCTCTCAAGGCTCTTCTCATTCGGATCTAAGTGTTTTGTGCATCAACACAGACCTGGGAGGAAGAAATTAGACCCCCGTGGAAAGGAAGCGATCTTGGTCGGATACTGTGATCAGGGAAGAGGATATAGAGTTTTCCATCCTGATACACAGACAATCGAAGCGACCAAAGATGTCGTCTTTCCGAAGGAAAAAATATTCGAAGAAGAGAAGACAGATAAAAATGCTGCAAATGACGAATCCGAGACGCCGCAGAATTCCCCAGTCTAGTCGACTCACGAAGTGGGAAGACTTGACTGTAATTCCATGAGGAGAGTGAAATCGTTCACCGAGCCAGATAGCGATTGCGATACTGAGGGCGAGTAGGCGGTCTTTAAAGAAAACCAGTGAGAGAGCGGTCGTCTGGCCGCAGTCCCTTCACTAGTTGGATGAAGCGAGGCGAGTGGCTGAGGATGATAGTACGTCGCTGCCCTAAAGTTTATCTAAATATTTTAAGATGAGGGAGAGGGATAGGTTTGGGGTCGGTGGTTTTACCGAAGAAGGGTTTATTTCAATTCGGCGCGGTACGTGCTCGTAAATTTAAAATATCACTTTCCGCGTTGCGGAGATGGAGACAGGTAAGGCTTCATGAGATCGATAGGCAGATTTCTTGTCTGACTAGTTGCTCGTTATTGTTAAATAGAGAAAATAGAGCATCCTGAGCAAGGTACACAAAACGCGTTTGGCATCAATGGGTCGCGCCGTTGGTTTGTCGGCGGTCATTGGTTTGGGAGACGTGAGGTGCTCGATCGACCGGAGCAGTTGTGAGTCCGACGCCGCGGCGTGGCTTGTCTAGTTACGTGAGGTGCCTGGAATATCAGTGAGGTTTGTAATCAAGGACCAGGGGATGGGTTCGGGAGGGAGCCCTCGGTGAACGATTTCACTCTCCTTATGGAATTACAGTCAAGTCTTCCCACTTCGTGACTAGACTGGGGAATTCCACTTCCTCGAGTTCCATCGTTCACCGAGGCCAGATAGCGATCTTAACGTGGTGGATCGAGCACGGCGGAGGCTATGGCGGAGGAGGGGGGTGGTCGGTAGTAGTAGTTATGGAAGGTCGATGCGCCGGTCCAATGGGCGGTGCGAAGGATGTCGTGTAGTTGAACTCCTCGTTGGTGAGCTGCGGTGGTCGAAGCTGCTCGCGTCGAGTGCGCGGTATATGATTGGATGTCAATGCCGGCGGCGTTTAGGGTTGCTTTGACCCAACGCGCGAGTGTGTCTTTGGTTGCAGGATGGAATGGTTTCCGTGAAGTGAGGAACAAAGGCCCGGACTGTTGACGATGCGGTTCCGTAAGAATGGTGTATCTCTCTAGAGCAGATATCGGGCATCGGAGAATGTTCGAGGGGAACGCTTTTACCACGAGCGAGGGTTCGTGGTGTCCTTGACGGCTTGTTTTCGTGAGACCACGGCCGCGGGCGAATTCCCATTCGTGCGGGTTGCGCGCGATAGGCGGATATGTGAGATCGGCCATTTCGCCGATGCGGGCGGCCGAAGTCAGCAGGAGGAGGAGGAGTGAGCGGTATGCTGCGTGAAGCAGAGGTAGGTCGTCGGACGGTCCCCACGTATCCATATGGTTTAGTACTTGTTCTACGTTCCATACCGGGGGACGTGGCTTCACGGGAGGCTTTACGTTAAATATACCGCATCAGACGTCGTATGGTAGGATGATTCCCCACTTTGAACGTATCTTTGGGAGGCAGGTTGAGGGATAAGCATGATCTGAATGAGTTCACCGAAGAGTATGAGTATCCTTGTGTAGCCATGTCGGCGAGGAAGTTGCAGATTTCGTTCACCGATGCGTCAGCGGAAGAGGAATTTCGTGATTGACACCATCGAAGCCAGCGACGCCAGCAGACGCCATAGGCGATTCTTGTGCCGGGTCGGATAGCTTGCTCCAAAAACTCTGTCGCTTCTCGCGACAGGAGATCGGTGCGAGTCGCCATGCCAGCAATTGCAGTTTGTTGGACAAGAGGAGTGGGTGAGGCATTCCTTTCTGATCGCGAAGTAGGTCGACGAATGTCGGTAGGAGTATTGGCTGGGCGATGCATCGGCGTAGCAGGGCCGGGAAGAAGGCCTGGGTTGGCCAAAAGGGGGTGATTAGCGTTATCTCACAGGTAGAGAAGGCGTCTAGATACGAAATCGTGCGATCGATCAGTTTGAAGGGGGGGAAACCGTTTAGGTTTGTCCACGTATCCCAACGGGATAGGAAAGCGTCGACACTGAGTGCGAATGAGTCGCAGAGCCAACTGAAGTAGGTGGCCACCTTGTAGTTTGAGAAATCGGCGAAGAGGTCGATTTCAAATGGACCGTGCTTCGCGTTCAAGCGGGAAAAACGGATTGATCTAACGAGTAGCTGTGATTGTCCCATACCGATCTTGAGAGCTCGTCGGCTATGTCGTTTTGGGCCCCGGGGATGGTAGGAGGCTCTAAGATAGATGTCCCGTTCGAAGGCCCATGCCCAAAGTTCGCGCGAGAGGGCGTTCAAGGTGGGAGAGTGCAGGGAGCCGAAATTGTTGATGAAATGCCTGGCGTTCGTGTTGTCAGCGTGAATTGCGACGGTCGTTCACCGGCCAGAGCTTTTACCGCGAGGAAAATCGCTTTGAGTTCAAGCGCGTTTATGTGAAGAAGCGAGTCCTGATCATTCCAGGCGCCGCCGGTAGCTCTGCCGCGGCACCATGCGCCCCAGCCTTGTAGTGAGCTATCGGTTGTGATCTCTAGAGACACTAACGGTGGTCGCACCGGGCCCGAGGCAACCAAGTCAATGTTTCCTATCCACCAGAGGAGATCATCTCGGGTGTCGGCGGGCAGTTGATCTTGTGAATTAAGGTTGCGGGTCTGACGCGTGGCTGACGAAACCAATTTTGCAATCGGGGAACAGTGGTATCGGAGGGACCGTACGATTGTAGTCAGTGCGTTCAGTTTCCCTAGTATGCGATAGAGCGTGCGTAAATTGGTTTGGGGCGCGTTGAGGACGGATGCGATGTCGGTTTTGATTTGAGCGCGTTTTTCCTCTGGCACTGAGAGTCGCATCGTCTTAGAGTCGAGGACATAGCCCAGAAATGTCACTTGTTGAGTCGGCGTTAGAGAGGATTTTCCCATGTTGACCGTGTATCCTAGCGAGTGTAGGAGTGTCGTAGTCCGCAGGACATGCGCTGCCAAGCGGTCGGGGTTGTCAGCGATCAACAGGAAGTCGTCTAAGTAAACGATCAGGGATATACCCTCCTGTCTCAGCTTGGCCGTTACTGGCTTGAGCAGTTTGGTGAACACGCGAGGACTCGTCTTGAGGCCGAATGGCAAGCGTGCCCACGTGTAGGTTTGGTTCTGCCATTGAAACGCGAGGTAAGGTTTGCTGGCTTTATGAATTGGGATCGAAAGGAACGCATCCTGGAGATCGATGCGAGCGAAGTAGCAGTCCGTGAAGACGGTTTCCCTGATCTCCATCCATCCTTCCATTTTGAACTTGCAATCAGGAATGAATTCATTCAGTGGTTTTAGATTGATGACCGGCCGGAACTTGTTGGTGCCTCTTTTGGCAACCATGAAGAGGTTCGACAAGAATTTGACGCGCTCGTATGGTATAGGCGTTACGGCGCCTTTCCTGAGTAGGTCGGCGACCAGGTTATCCATCACGCCAGTCTCTTCCGCAGAGAAGCGAATGGTATGGGGTAGGGCATTCTGACTTGGGGTGACCTCGAAGTCGATTCTATAGCCTAGCACCGTGCTCAATATCCATTTGTCGGACGTCAGATTTGACCAATTTGAGGAGAAATCCAATAGTGAGGGAAACTCCTTACCTGAAGTCTGGCTTCGACTGGCGGCGGAGGGACCTGGTCCACTGTTCGTATTACGCGGTGTGACGGTGGAAGAGTGGGCCGCTTGACCACGCGGTGCATTTCGGTACCAGTCGCCGTTTCGATTAGGCTGACGCCAATTCGTGCGTCGGGGCGCGTTTGGATCCTGGTTTGTGCGAGCGTATGACCGGTATCTCGAAGTGGTCGAAGTTGCTGCGTCTTCCCCGAGGAGGACTTTTTTGTCCTTGCGCAGACGTTCAACGTTTTTTGCAAAAAAAGGACCCATTTGCGTCGGGCGTCGTGGTTTCGGCGATGTACGACATCGCATCTGTTAGCGGCCGAGCCAGCAACGCATTCGTGTCAGCTAGCTTCGTTAGGAAGAATCCGCCTTGATGGCTAGAAATGCTTAGCTGGTTTTTAGATGCGCTTCGACATCTCTTAGTGACTCGGGGTTCAGGAACTGCGGACCCTTGGGTTCCGGGTAAGCTTGGTTGAGATCGTCAAGCATTTTTTGTGTATCTTTGAGCTCAAACAGGCGTTTCAACGCAGCAAGCACCCCCGGGCTGAAAGGGGCAATTTACGTAGTACGAGGAGTTTACGGACATTAATGGGATAAGCATATCGGTGTCGGCATATTGGGCATCGCTCGAGTCTCGGGTTCTTCGACATCGAGTTTGCTCTTACTTCAGGGTAGGTGCCGTCGAGTCGTCAAGCAAACCGTCGAAAATCGACGGGAGGTTTGGTGGATCATTTTCCTTTTGCTCGGATGCCGGCGCTTGCGGGTCCGGTGCGTCGCTGATCACTTCTTCTTCCTCCGACACATCGTGGGGGAAGGTCTCGAATTCTTCCATATCCGCGAATAGGTCTGTAATAGAGCCAAATGAGGAGGGTATTAGGCATATGTCATACCCAGCGTCACCGAGAGATCGGGATAGGCTCAGACCGAGAGACACGTTCGGCTCTCGTTATAGTGCGTAGTACGCTCGGCGCCGTAAGGCTTAATTCGATCCTGCGTCGAGGCATGTAATGCATGGCTCGGCATCGCGTTATAGACGTGGCATCAAGCTGTTTCGCTCGGCATCCAGTTCCCAAAGGGAGAGTGGGCATCGAGAAGACTGTGCGAACCGGTTTCCAAAGTTCGCGCACTGCAACAGGTGTTGTATGCGGTTTGTGCGAGCAGGCCTCATGGGCTTCACTTTCAGCCGAGAGCTGAGTTTTGCATGTAGAGAGACCTGGAAATGAACGGGGCAGCGACTTACCAGCCATAAGTTTCTTTACACAAAAGTTTTCGCACGAAATTTCCCTTTTTGTTGCTCTCGCGAGCGTCCTAATTCAACGAGCGGGAAACGACAGTGAAGGGACTGCGGCCAGACGACCCCTCTCTCACTGGTTTTCTTTAAAGACCGCCTACTCGCCCGCAGGATCACAATCGCTATCTGACCTCGGTGAACGGTGGAACTCGACGACGTGGAATGAGGATGTTTTTGAAGGATATTTGTACGGTTTTTCGAGCTTGGACGCTGAGTTCTGAGCGAGGCTTCGAACGATGAGATTGCACAAACGATGATCACCACAGTAGAATGAACACAACAGACGTGAAGTGAACCCGAACTGGAATTCTCCTCAAGTGCTGAAGACCCTTATTGAACTAGCTTATATACTACTAGATACATGCGGTCAGAAAGGGTTAGTCTGTACAAACTATCTAGTATGTGCTTTCGACATGATCGAATGCGTTTGAATACGTCCGCGATTAGCGGGTTGCTGATTACTGGCATGGTCAATCTACGATGGCCTACTTCTATGGGTTTGGGAAACTGTAAACTAGTCAAGAGTGAATAGTTTTTCTATCATTCCCTCCTTTTTCCATACTCCATAGAAATTGACAGCTATTTGTTTACCTAACAAGAAACGTAGCTGATTCTCTGA